AACGGATTCCTTATGAATCGACTAATGAATCTTCCTCTAATTTTATTTCATCACTCTTCTATACTCTGCCTGTGAGAGTACGTTGACGCCGTTGGATATGGTCATCCATATCACTCGCGGAAAGAAACATATCCATATCGCGTGTGGAAGGAACCACATTCATATCAGTTGTAGAGAGGACCGTATCCATCGTTTGAATTGCACACACACACACATCACAACCCCACGCATGGTTACTGCGAAAACCAAGAGCGAAGAACAACCGGCGACGGTAGAGCGGCAACTGAGCACGCCCGCATTGAACCGCGCCGCGGCGCAACACCTCCTGATAACAAAGTCGTAGTGCGGAATAAGATGGCGTCATCAGAGAAGACCAACGATGGGCATAGATTGAACAGGACCATTGCATCAACATTCGTCTCGAACTTGACTCAAAACCAAGCGCTGACGCTTATTTTTTTGTTTACACAATTGTTAAGGGGGTTGGGAGAAAAGGCGAATACAATCACCTGACTGGGTCACAACCCCTGTAAGAACACTCAACAGCAGGGCACAAATTGAGAGAGAATAATAAAATAAAAAGCCAGCTCACAGCACAAGTCGAAAAATAAATTATTTCGCCCAGCTAAAGACTCTTCAGCTTACAAATAAGATAAAAACAAATCACACTGATTAATATCATAACTCACTAGGTATGTACACTAGCAACATTAAAAATATTCCCATAGGTTTTTTTTTTTTTTAATGAAACATGGAATTAATTTTCTGGGCCATCTCATTCACGCAATAATGTCTGTTTAGGATATCTGTAATATTGTAGGATAATTTTTGAGTGCCATAATTAGTTTTAATTTTTGGTTTTGAAACTGCTGATGCCATTGGTTGCAATTTGTTTGCTTGGGTAGCTACGTCTCGTAAAGTATATAGGGATCAGTGTTAATTTGAGTATGAACTGAAATCGCCACCTTTAGCCAAAAGAGGTGTCCTACCGTAAGTATTTTATGTTTATTAAAACTATGGGAAGTCGGTTGAAACCGGGGAAAAATATCAATTAGCCGAATCGCGCGTTTTTGTAGTGTAAATAATTGCTTAATATTATTTCTTGTGGTTGTCCCACGCACCAATAAACATTGATGAAGCCTCGAGTGAATCATAGATGTAAATATTTGCCCTTTTTAACCAGTTTGGAGGAAAATGTCTGCACCTAAAACGTAAGCCAATAGATCTAGACATCTCTCTTTGGAAATCGTTTACTTGGGTAGTCCATTTCGTGGAAACGAACACCAAGAAATTTATAAGATTCCACGCGTTCAATAATAGAGTTTTGAAATGATATATTAATTGTGCTAGTAATGGGCTTGCTTTTGCTCTAAAATGATATACTTAGTTTTCAACGTATTTAGTTCTAACTGATTTGCAACTAACCACAAGTGAAGTTGGTCCAACCAAGTGTTTGGTTGGACCAACTCGTTTCCAATCTGTGTCCAGCGTTGGCCTTCTCTGTTTACGCCATCTCGTTCAGCACTGCGGATTTTATATCTAAGAGGTGTTTCACGGCGCCTCCTTCTCCCTGGTTCTGCGCCAGCTGTGCGCATGACTGACGAAAACGAAAGAGCTCGTTTTGACAAGAACTCGGCGTTGTCTGTCAGTTTGCCAGCGCCGAGTTCGGAAGGAGAGTTTGACGCGTACTGACGTCAGTGCTTCCCACCAATGACAGCATTCCATGCGTCACCCTCTCCCCCTCCTTCTTCCTTTCTCCCTGGTAAACGAAAGACACCAGCGGGTATTCATCAAAACCAGCGTCCTACTGCTAACGCATTTAAAAAAAAGATGTGGTACTTGTTCTGAACGTTTCCGTAATCGGATCGGGAATGATGAACCGAACCGGAAGGTTGGGAATAAAGTTTATCAAAATCGTGTAATCGTGGTATTTATTTTTTTAATTTTCGATCACATTAATATGTTTCTTACGATAGTCCCTCTGCATATCGGCAAATGTTAGATCAACAAGCTTCGTACCGCTCATGAACTCGCAGGAGTGAACATCTTTTTTTTTGTAAGCGAATTTGTCTACACTTTTCTTCATTTGATAGGCCATCACATGAAACAGATGACGCATGAGGCTCCAGTTGAAACATAATGCAATATCTTTCGATTCCTTGCGCTAAGGGTGAGTTAGAATCACAAAGACGCGTTCAAAGCCTTTGGGAATTTGACCTGTGTACAATCGCTACAGAACAATAACGAACACTGCTCCCAAGCCCAAGAGCCCAACCCTAAAGCCGTCAAAAAAGGCATCATCTTCAAGATCCGCTGGCGGTTTTGCTGTTCATTGTTCACTGAAAAAGACGGATGAAACTTAAACTCACTAAGAATATATTTACGTGACCCTTCTCACTCGCGCGGAACGTCTCAAACGGACTCAGTCGAACGCACGTGTACAACCGGACAAACCTTTGAACAAAACCGTAGTCCTTTCTCTGAAATGCATCTGGGCATTCATGGTCAATTGGGTTGTTGTTTCCAGGGTACTTATCAGCGGAGTCAGAGTAGCATATACACACCCTGAAATACTAATTTACAGAATGAAACGCAGCAACATAAAAACATAGATGTGCGTGTACGAGCCTCCCTGGCGTCCTCCTGTTGAACCTGTGATGAAAAAAATGCTACTTAAAAGTTTCGCTTCGCGGCAGAGTGTTCGTAAATATCTAAAAATATATCAGTTATATATTTTTATATTGACGAAGTGGCACCAGCGAACCGGTTCCATCGTCGCTGGCAAATTGATTCCGCAAGTCAAAACGCTTCCGCACCTCAAGACCTGTAAAAGTATTTCCTGACGCAAGCTAAAGACTTTTTGTGAAGTCTCAACCTTTACCCAAATCCCTTGCCGCATCACAGACGACAACTACGCGCATAGTGTGAGATCGTCGCCATTCATAAAGCGAAAGCGCAACACTCGCTTCTTTTGGCGAGACATTCCCAGCTTTCGGTGCCACCACGTTTCAAATGGCTATGTCGCGCAGTCTGGCGCAGTCTCAGACACCGTGATAGGAAGCAGGAAAGGCGCGCAACGCGCTTTGCGCGCCGTCCACATTTTTTTTTTTCAAATACAGAGTGCAAACAACGCTGAAAGCTGTGCTTCCGCTTTGCGCTTTACTAGCTCGTGTACGCAAAACTCCGACTCTCCCCTATACACGTTCGCAAGTACGACTTCAGGGCGCCTCCATCATGCTGGGTGGATCCTAACCCCTAATCCGACTAGGACGCCTTGCTAAGGCGTCGTAGTCGGGATCATGACGCGCTCAAGCGCACCCCAACTGGGCAAGATGGCTGCCGTACTTGCAAACGTATACACTAAGAACTCTCTATCTAGAGTAATAAGAAAAGCCCAAGAGCGAAACTATATTCTATTTGTTAGTACTTGCCCAACTTTTCAAGTAATTTTAAATCATGAAAGGTTTCCTTACTGCGATCGCCTCAGCCTTCGGTGGCAAAGAAAAAAAAAACGCTAAAGAAAAACGAGTTTAGGAGAAGTTCAGAAGGTTTTATTTTATTAATGTATTTAGTTCATCACTAAACATACTTATTTAATCAAAACTGCATGCCGAAAGGGCCAAGCGAGAGGTGCAAACACATTTAGGTACATACCTTGTTGAATACACATAAAAACACAAACACAAAATCTTCAATAAAAAAAAAAAAAAGCAGAGCTTAATTAGTACAATCGCTGAGCACCGCGTTCCGCAAGCGGCAGCTATCGCAGTTTTTAGTCCGCTGCCAAGTCGAGTTCGCCTCTCGGTTAAGCTGATCCAACTACGCCATGGTATCTTGTGAAGATCACGCTACCTCGCCGCGTGTCAACGCGCCTCTCGATCCAGCTGCGTTGCTTGAGGCGCCGGGATTACTTCTGCGACGCTTTTGAATGAAAGCACCATTCTCTTTTCCTAGCTCGGTGTTCGGAAAAAGGGAGTGACTTCTAGTAAAGCGCAGTTATCATCCCCCCAAATGTGTTATTAAAGACATTCGCCAAGTAAATGGACATCAAACAAATTACTTAACTGCCAAGCCATTCCATGAAAAAGGCCGCTATTCAAGAATGAATGCCCCACATCGGTGGCTCTAGACTACTATGTACCGTGTTCCTTCCTTTATTTTATAACCTCCATTGTAAGAACATATTAAATATAAAAAGAATGTCATTCGATAAATATCCCACCCTCTTTTTTTAAACAGAATCAAACAAAACTATCCTTACACAATGTTTCTGGAAGTGCGCTTGTTTGACAAACGAGAAAAACGAGAAATGTCTTTGCACTACTTGAATTTAGAAATAAGGGCGAACTAAACTTTGTCCATGTTTGAGGTAGAATTCTTGATGCTAGAATGGGCTTATTTGCTTGCTACAATATGTAGCGAAGGCTTGTTTTATCTAATAACTAATAGTTCCAAAGGTTCATTCAAGCTTCGCTCTTTCAGTTTTCAATGTTAAAATCTTTTTTACCGGTGACCCACTGCCGAATTCTGATCTCTAGCATATCCCTTAAAGTGTTTTTGTCTGGTTATCTTATTTAGATATGTATTTTGCAGGTTCGTTTCGAGTGCTATTTGGTTAAAATTATGTCTCCTTCATTTTATATTAAAAAGCCACTTAGCTTAGAATTTAACCTAAACATCGAACAGACCTTTGTCGGTTTGTGTGAAAACTAGAATGGAAGGAAGACTCAATAGACCGATTTGACCAGTTTGGTTACGCCGCCGCCTTTCTTCGCGCGCGGCAACACCACTCCGGGCCTGCGCGTTTAGTGCACTGCTACCTGCCTCCTGTGAACTAAGGTTATGGCGGCATCACAAGAGCGTCGAACTCTTGGTGGGATCGGTCTATTGCATCACATCTGTGTCTTACGTGTGTTTTACGTCTGTTGTGACGCAAGCAAACATATTTATGGCTAATGTTGTAGTGCTTGTGAACGCAACACAAGACAAGTACCGTAAGAGACTGACCGCTTTACGATGAACACGTTTTTAAAATTAGCGATAACTGCTTTATGCGCTTTTATCCCATGTAAAGCCAATAAGATGTGCAGCTGTCCTCGACAAGACTATTTGGAGGGCTTACCCGATCACTTGGAATATCGAAGCGCAAAGGATGTAAGTCGTATTTCTTCAAATTAAACCTTTTTGTAAATTTTATTCTACAATATGATGTCATTCTATACGAAAGTAATTGATTTTTAAGATTACATTAATTAATATTTTATGTATACGATCTTAAACACAACAAAATTACGGTCTGCAAGCTGTCTAATGCGGTGGATTATAGCGGAACACGGTAATCGCGGTGTACCAAGTGATAACTCTATTAAAAATGTATATGCTCACATATTTAAACTAGATTTAAATTACACTGCATGCGGATTCTTTTATAAGGGACAACCGTTCCTAGTAGTGGCAAACTCGTTATAAATTAACATAAGTAGAACGAAAGCCATATTTTTTTAACACAAAACATAAATCGGTCAGGATAACAAAGTATATTACTCTTAATAGACTTATTGCTGAATTACCCAAGCATCACGGATTTTGCCCAGTATAGGGTATACGCGGCGCACTCGCTCGCCTTCCCCGTATAAAATATTCAAGGTAAATATTCAAGATAAGGCGCTGACGAACGCGCGTGCAGCATAACATTTCTTTTAGCCAGAAAGTCGAACTGGTCATTATTCCATTTCAGCCGGATTTAGGGTTCAGCCGTTTTACATTTCGTTCCGGTTCGGTTTCGTTTCAGTGATTCATTCAAAATAACGCTTTGGTTACCGCTTCCACCAAACGCGACCCGGTTTAAACCGGTTCTTAAAAAGAAAGTCTCCAATACAGACGCCTTGTTAAAACAGGGCGTCATGTGGATAAAACAAAAATGCTTATCAGCAGCTTTACTACGGAAACGAGGAAAGCAAAAGTTACAAAAGTTGAAAGTATAAAACAGAGAGGACGAGGACGGGAACAGGACATCTTGGAAGTAGAGGAAGATGTCGTGTTCCCGTCCTCGTTCTCTCTGTTTTATACTTTCAAGTTTTGTATCTATTAACCAACACGCTCGTTTTCAATTGAAACAAAAAGAAATTCATTTTTAATTTTGTTTCTTGATTTCTACTTTTTATCCCAAACACAATTTCATGTAAATGACTCGGTCAAGCGAGTGCTCGGAAACAGTACCGAAGTACAATACTCCCATTTGAGGCAAACCAACCAGCACGCACAGCTGACACTGTAACGGTTGGACGCACACAGTGGCGGATTCAGAGGAAAAGTCCGGAATCCGGATGTACGGTCGCCTGCGGACCAAGTTTGCTAGACAAAATATGACTCGCCGCCGACGGTCGTCTGCGAACTAAGTATGCTCGACTAAGTATAACTCGCCGCCGACGGTCGCCTGCAGACTAAGTATTAATGGCTACCAAGGGGTGCTGCAGACTATGTATGTTGAATTAAACATGACTTGCTGCCAACGGTCGCAAATGAACTAAGTATGACTCGCCGCCGACGGTCTTCTGCGAACTAAGTACCCTGCACTAAGCATGAATCGTCGGCAAGTTATTTTGCGGGAAAACTGGCAATGGTGTTCGCGAGGTCATTTTCCGGCCAGCGCGCACCGTTCGGGTGGTGGTACTTCGGCAAGCACGAGCAACTTTCTGGCGCTTTTTCCACCCGAGCTCCGAACGGCCAGGCGAGCGTGCGCCACACTGTATCCTGTTTCGTTCCCTCCGAAATGGGAGAAGAGGTCAGTGGGAAAAAAGTAACGAAAGATCGAAACTGATTTGAAGTCACTTCAGCAGCCAATAATCGAGTCAATCTAAGCTGTTGGGACAATACCACAAGGAAAATGATCAAAATGGAGGACAAGGGTGACGGAGGTGATGACGGCGGGAGCCCCTTGGGTGGTTTCTTGCGGGCAAGCGGCGAAATAAACTGCCACCCTCTGGCGTTTAATGGCCGGGTGCTCAGCGTCACGTGGTGCGGCGCCTACGCGTTTCTGGTTGCCGGTGCCGCCGGTTCGGTCTCACCAACGATTGACCCCTTGAATTCGCCATAAGTATGACTTGCTGTCGCCTGTGTACTGTGTAGTCTGGATTAACTATGACTCGCCACCGACGGTCCCCAGCGGACTAAGTACGCTATGCTAAGTATAGCTCGCCAGCAACTGTGCCCTGGAGACCAACAATTTTGGACTACGTATGACTCGGCGCCGACGGTCGACTGCGGACTAAGTATGCGGGACAACCTGTCACTTGTCGCAGACAGTCGCGTGCTACCGCAGGTGACCTTCAGTGGCAAGTCATACTTATATCTTAGTTACACGAGTGATCTTAACTGTCATTAAGCCAACGACAGTTCACTCAATCGTGATCGGCTCGAGTTACATGGCGGCACCAACTGTCATTGAGCCACTAGCGATCATTGAGTTAACTGCGCTGGCGTACCTCAGTTAAGGGTCGGAGGTTTGTCTCTTTAGAGCTAAAGATGGCGGCGTCCGCCGTGTTGCCGCCATTGGCGAACTCCAGCGAAGCTCTTACTATGGCGGAAAACTAAGGGTGGTATGTAGAAGGTAACGTAGCAGAAAATATTGTCGGAAGAGGTATGATTCGGGGACAGAGTGGCCGCTAAAACGATCACGGCAAATGGCGGACGCCATCTCTCGGCAAGCTCGGTCCTTGTGATGTCGATGCCGGTAAGACTTCCGTTATGTCCCTCTTGCTTGAATTTGTGTGAAACGATCTCATCATCGTTCCTTTGCTCTAAAAATAAAAAAAAAGTTCATTTAATTTTTGTTTTAAACGTTTATAAAGAACGAAAATGGTGCACAGAATTCATTGGCATCACTTAAAAAAAACACGTAATGTGACGTCAGTTTTGGTTTTGTTTCGGTTTCAACTGTGTCCCGTGACGCGCATCTCAAATGGGGTTGTGGTGCGCCACTGGAGAACTTAGTTTAGCTAAACGATATTTGGGAGATGCCAACGATCGTTGATTTAATGACAGTTGAGAGCCCTAGTGTAACTAGGGTATTAGTACAGTTGCTTGCACTCTCTTGCATTTCTAACGATGGCGCCAAGCAAAGCATTCAACATCTGGCGTTCGTACCGCTCGGACGTAGAATGGCTGGCTCCCACGGAGCAGTTTTAACGGCCAGCTCTGGCCGGGGTTTATCTGTTATTCCTTTGACGGACGAATACCGTGTGGTTATTCCACTCCTGCCATCAGGAATTTTTTCCTGTGGACACCGTCTCTGTATGCAGCGATGCGACCTGTCGCACTTGCCGGGTATACCCCTTCAAGGACCAAACTGGAACGCTTTGGCGTGATAAAAGAGATAGTGGCGATTGACACCTACCACATGAACGTTCTGTGGATGCTGACACTTCACACCACGGCAGCAAAGCAGAGGTCTGTGCAAGCACGAGAACTCTTTGTGAAAAAGAACGGGCTCCTAGTGCTCGACCCGGACAACTCCGAAGTTCGGTTCAAAGTGCACTGGATGTCGTTCAACACTCCAGATGACGCCTTTTTCAGAGCTTGTGTGTGGTACGGTAAGGTTCAGCAGATCAACCACATAACATCAAGGACGGAAGGGTTTCAAGGCGTACAGTCGTCCACCAGAATGGTGCGTCTCCGTCTGATGCAGGGTATCACCGTTGACAGCCTGCCCCACCAGCTCAAAGTCTGCGGCGGGGGTGACCTGGTTGTGGTTCCCGGAAGCGCACCCCTGTTTGCGGTGCATCACGAGAGGAGACACCCGGAAAGATTGCAGGGCACCCTGGCGTCAGCAGTGCCGCAGGGTGGGGCATGCATCTGAAGACTGCGTCCGTACGTACGCCACCGTCACGGGCGTCCCTTCCACGAATGATGCACAAAAACAAAGAGATGGACGAATAGGAAGAAGAGGATACGGCACAGAGCGAATCTCAGCCACAACCGCCACTTCAACAAATATCGAGCAGGAGAATACAGAAACACCAATCCCTACAACCGGTCCGCCCGAGTCCAACGCTGAGCTGGAGTTCAACACTGAAGGGACGGGCACCCCTAATGAATCAGTCGGAGCAGTCGTCGAATTGCCGGAATAAGTCGCAGAGCTCCCCGACGCTCCGCTGAGCAATGAGCTGCAAGAAGAGATACCAACGCGGACGACACATCACTGACCGACGACTTTCCAGCTTTGCAACTCCTCGGCCGTTCTCTTCCGCATCCTCCCTGGAGAGGCCACGCAAGACAGAACAGAACTGGAAGGGTGGCTCGACAAAGAAAGGGCATTTTAATCGAATGCCCCGCATACCACCACAAGATCGCCGTCGACCGGGCCCGGCGTATACAACGAGACGCCGACGGCCTGAGACGCCAAGAAACATTCGCATAAAAGTTACTCTATTTTTATTTCTTGTTCCGAATTTTACTTATTAACATTACGCTTCTCGACATAAAATAGCTTAAAATAGCCACGTTTATCACGGTCAGTTTAATGTCTAGAATAAGAAAACAGTGGCTTCGAAATTCGCTCTTGAAAGTAAACGCCGATAACGTATTTGCCGATATTCCCCGAAGGAGCCTATTACCACTCTTTATGCGACAGGCAATCACTGTGCTCATTCCAAAGAAGAAAAAAAGAAGGGCTCCAGCTTCTTAACATCAGACAGATTAAGGCCCATGAGTCTTCTAACAACAGACTATAAGCTGCTAGCCAGGATAGTGGCAAAACGAATGGAGATTGGTCTCAAGTTTGTAGTGGGCGATCATCAGACTTCAAGCTTGAAGGATTCAAGGAAATATTTATTGCTTCAAATGTTCACACTCTCCGGATTCTTTTCGAAACAAAGGAAGCAGCCGCACCTTTCGCGCGGCCGTGCTGCAGATTGACCTGTGCAAAGCTTTCGACCGGATACCGGTTTCCTTTCTGTTCACTTTGCTTGAGGCTTGTGGCGTCGGCAAAAGAATCGCGAAATGCAATGAACTGTGCTACAGAGAAATATCGACACGACTGTTGGTCAACGGGAGCGTAACAGGAAAAAAAAAATCAGTGCCGTGCTTGGTTAAACAAGGCTGCCCGCTCTCGCCTATACTGTTCTCGCAAATATTTAGAACCTGTTTGCAGAAGTAAGCTAGGCGACAACAAGATTCAGGACGTCGCCCTTGCCAGGTATGCCACAAAAATATTGCCTATGCCGATAACGTTACTGTAGTTGCCGCGTCGAGATTAAAAATTGTTCTTGCGGTGCAACACCGCTGATTTTTGCGAAGTATTCGGGGCCCAAATGAAACACGTTAAGTCAACAGGTGCATGTTTCGGAAACTGAGACGTGAAGCCAGAGCGCTTCCTTAACATTACCTGGAGCTCTACTATTTCGAATTACCTTGGTGTCAGCATGGACCCCCACTCGCTTAGTAGTGACAAAGGGGGCATTAATCGTAACAGCCTGAGTGCAAAAGTTCAATACTGGCGCGGTCGGAACCTCTCTATCCTGAATCGGGCCTTCATGTGTAATTCCATCTTTTTCTCGACTGTATTGTACGTAGCTCATCTTGTGCCTTATCACTCAAGCGAAAGCCATAAAATGCGTCGCTTTTGTGCAACCTTTGTTTGTTTGTTTGTTTCAGCACGTTTTTTTTCTCGACAGTACCTTAGCAGGGTGAAAAGAAAAGCTGTTTTCCCACCGCCGCTCTATCGACCCTTCTTGAGAAGTAGTTTGTAACCCACGGTTTAAAAGCGCCTCCGCAGCTACCCCGTCCGGAATGCCGCAATTGACCTGTTCATTTATTTTCACATTGAGCTATTGACAATGAATGCATGAAAAAAAGAGAAAGTATTTTTTTGTTCCGTGGAATTGAACTATGCACTATGTCCATTTCTTGTTTCGCATCCCATCGTCGAACCAATTTTTAATGTTTTAGCGTTAGGACGCTCGTTATGACGAAAACCGTGCGGTGTCTTTCGTTTGTCGGCACCGTGGTGAGAAGGAGGAGGGGGAAAGGGTGACGCGTGCCACGCTCCGATTGGTTCGAAGCGCTGGCGTCAGCATCCGTCGACCTCACCCTCTTTCCCCGGCGCTGACAAACTGAAAGACACCGCCGGGTATTTGTCAAAACGTGCCCTTTCGTTTCCGTCCAAGTCACATGCACAGCTGGCGCGGAGCCAGAGAGGAGGAGACGCTGCGCAACACATCCTAGATAAAAAAAGCCGTATTGCTGAATGCGGCGGCGTCATCAAAGAAGACTAACGCTGGACACAGATTGGAAACGAGTGCTGCGTCAGTGCTCGCCTTCGAGTAAAGTTTGAGCCGAACGTTGACACGATCGTCGTGTCCGATCTGTGCCCAGCGTTGGCCTTCTCTGATGACGTCATCTCCTTCAACATTACGGCTTTGTTATCTAGGAGTCGCGGCGGTGCAATGCGGGCGTGCTCAGTTGCCGCTCTGCCGTCTCCGGTTGTTCTTCGCTCTGGGTTTCCGTAGTAGCGGTGTGTAGGCTGTGATGTGTGTGTGCAGTTAAAACGATGGATGCGTTTCCATCCACGAGTGATATGAATGCGGTTCCTTCCACGAGTGGTCTGAATGTGGTTCCTTCTCCGAGTGATATGGATGACCGTATGCAAGGGCGTCGACGTGCTCTGACAGGCAGAGTACAGAAACGAGGTGAAAAAAAATTACAGGAAGGTCCATTGGTGGATTATTAGGGAATCCCTTCACATGATATTTGAGAAACGCCACACACGACCCTCCTTGGGAAACGCTAACACTGGGGAATTGTAGTAGACCGTTTCCGCAGCCCGCTGAGCACCCGGATAGCGCTCCGTAATCCACCACACGACCTTGAACTGTGCAGATAAGGCTAGCGGCGCGCATGCGCAGCTACGGCGTTTTCTTCGGGGATACCGTAGCGGAGGAGAAAAACGGCCTACTACAATTCCCTATTGACGCCGTAATGCGGCCAAAAAGAGGCAGCGAAAATAGAGGAAGCAAAAAAGAAAAAAAAAACGTGAAGGTTTCAGCGTTAGTGTTTCCCAGAGTGAAACGTGTGTATCGTTTCCAAGGGTCATCCTATCGCATTCCCGAAATATCCACCAACGGGTCTTCCTGTATTTTAAGACACTTATATATATATATATATTAACTCTTAGCAGCAAGAAATAAAAGAAACACACACACAAAGAATAGCTATTTTTTGTTTTAGTATAGACACACTCTAAAAAATGTCTGTGCGTCTACTTTCACGCACAACACCCGGAGAATCAATCAGCGCAACTCACGGAGGCAGCTCAGCGAATGACGATGCGGAAACATATGTTTAGACCAATAAATGTCGTCTGAGTTGTGGCATTAAGCAATGCAAAACGTCACGCTTGCATTGCTTAATGTCACAACTCAGACTGCGTTTTTTGGTCTAAACATATGTGTCATTCTCTGAGCTGCCTCCGTAAGTTGCGCTGATTGGCTCTCCAAGTGTTGTGCGTGGAAGTAGACGCACATACTTTTTTAGAGTGCAGATATACCCTGTTACGCCTTAACATGTACCGCGGTGCACACTACGAGCTACCCGAGCCAATCCATAGCTCGTAGCTTGTCACGTTACATCACGCTCCCGAATTGTACCGCCCAACCGGAAAGGCGCATGGCACCCTCCGAGCTATGGATTGGCTCCGGTGGCTCGTATTCTTAGCGGCCCGTCATAAGTTGAAACAGAGCATAGATGTGTACGACTCTGTGCCGACTTGCCGACGCCAGGTCGTGCTGCACATTGACGTGAAATATATGTATCTACTTTATTATTATGGAGCTGTCTCCATGTCGCTTCCGTTTGTTTAGTAAAAACTGCGCCTCTGATGCCACCGTCACGTATAATTAATTGGCTTCGCGCCTCCACCGGTGCGAAGTTGCAGCTCAGATTTTATTACGCCGAGCTATTTGTCAATGAGCCGGTAACCGCCACATGAGAGTACGGTTCGGTTCCTATTTTCGTTCAATATAAAATGCTTGATTTCGGTTTTTTACATAATTTTTAAGTATTCTTCCCACCACTGAATTTTGCATGATGCTTAACATCCTTCTTTACAGCATAGCCAAATGGGACTTCATACTTAATAACTTCAAATTCTTGTTTTTCAACAGTTCCTCACGAGTAGGGAGACGTTATACCTGAAGTATCTTTCCGTGACAGTATCTATTTCCGGAATTCAGTGCGTAACAAGCACACTAAGAGGCGCAGTTAAGCTTCCAGAGATTCCACGCTGGATTTATTATACTGATGCAACTTCACCCAAAAAGAGGTAAATGTATGTTAGATTAGGTATAAGATATTTAAACGGGGCACTGTCAATTCATGCGAGGCCAATATATTCATTTTAATTTATCAAACTGCCCCTCGGTTACTGCGGCTTGAGAGAGTTTACAAATATAAAGAAATCATGTGGCAAAAAGAAGGTGGTACAAGACACAAAAAGAACGCTTTTTTTGTTGAAATTTATTGTTTGTCTTGGTTCCTGAGAACCCTTTTTATTGCAAATCGCAAATGCTCAAAGATTCGTAATTTTAGTCCTCCGTTATCAGAGAAGGAGAGCAGAGCCAAGGGTATCAGTGGCGCACAAAGCAGTAGACTGAACTAAAGTTCTTAGATAAGAGCTTGCTACAAGTAGTGACATTTTCTGAAGCGCCGACTGCGTCGCGGTGCAGATTTCAGGAAGCGAATGGCGGCGTAAAGCATAAGACTGAACTGAATGACGCCATTTTGTTCCAGCAGATTGTGCTTTGTCAGTTGTATCGGTTGTTACTTGTAGAAAGAAGTATCAAGAGACTTTAGATGGAGCTGCTCTGCTCACGACAGCGTCACCGCTATTGCACTGCTGTTCACCTTAACATCGCCCAGCGATGCTTCCCCAGCCCCGCGATAAGCATTAAAGTCGTCCCTCGCGAGGAAGGCCCACACAGTTTAGATCCACTGGAATTTGTCATCAAACAAGCAGCAGCAGCGCAGTATCGGAGTATTCCTGTGAGCTTTCACTTTTTCTATTATGCATAGTTCACTAGCATTATTTAGTTGACTTTTATATTCTTGTCTGTATGCGCCGGTTGTGAAAAAACCTTTTATGATTAGGTTATCTCTGAAGAGATATTGCCTTTCGCGGTCGCTCTTCACTGCGGAAGACCAACTAAATACTGCACCAGAAGTCTACAATGGCACTAAATACCCCCCTTCCCTCTCCCCCCCCCCACCAAAACAAAAAATAAAAATAATTGCAATGTATTTTTTTTGTTTTTTTTTGTTTTTTTTTTTTTGCTTGGAAAATAAGTTTTTCATCGCCGAATTCTTCTCTTCTGCATAAATATAGCGCTAGCGGTCCGATCGAGATGGCAATATTTCAGAAATAACCGTCATCTCAATCAAATGTTATAAAAGGTTTTTCTGAAAATTCCAATTGCAAATGGATCCCCAATTTGCAGGGATTCGATAAGTGTTCCGACAGAGCTTCCTGTATTCGAGAGCTCTGTTAGTGTCATCCGCCATATTACCATTCACAACTTCAGAAACTGACTTACCACTTTGGAATAAAATGACGGTTAGTTCTGAAAATACTGAGTGCGCAGGGGTAATAATTGGGAAGCTTTGCCCGAGTTGGGGTACAATGCGCAGTTGTTGCCGTGTTCCTGAGGTCAAAGAATGAAGGTCCCGGAACCCTCTCCCGTCGTCCTTGATGATAAGAGGATTGTGCTGTGGGTTTTACCGCGTGGTCTCTTGTAGGTGTGTATGTTATCTGTTTTAGAAAATGCTTTCAACAAAGGAGATGTATGCGTAGAGGGTGGTTAAGAGTGGCTTTTTGAGTATAAATAAAATGCTTGAGGAATAACCCAGTAGCTGAGTTTGAGACGTTCCCCTCTGTGTCTGTTCCTTCAACTAAACGTATTTTTCCTTTTCTGCACCAAAGTCTCAGATGTTAAACGACATGATTAGTTTTGAAACTTTGGCATCTGGTTCAGACAGCTAGCCCTTCATTTGGGCAGTCACTAAGCATGAGGCGATGCTAAGTTCATGTTTGCGGTGAAAAGACCCTGTAAATGTTTTTGCAGGACTACCTCTTGTACTGTAGCACTCTTGTTCTCTCAACTCTAACCGGATGCTATGAATACAGGAGTTAATCGACGCACTGTTCCACAGGAATCATTGCAAAGAATGCCTCGATGTACAAAGAGCAGTACATATTATGCATCTTGATAAGAATTCCGGCTGCATGGCGAAATGGTGGCACCAATCCATAACACTATGCTGAAGTTAAAACAGCTCGTCACTAGACAACACCAAAGGCGTCGGGAGAGTTCGGGAAATGGTGGGGCTGAGGTCCCATCCGGGTAGAAGAGATGGGGGAGGGGGGGGGGGGGGCGATGGCAGTGGGAGAGATGTATCCGCCGCTAGTTATTCGTAAGATATATCTCCATATTTTGTGATTATCTACAGCTATTATCCCGCTTGTTTACTATTTTTAATGCGTTAGCATTAGAGCATTTGTTTTGTCGAAAAACCGGCGGTGTCTTTCGTTTCTCAGCGCCGGGGAAAGAGGGACAAGGAGGGAAGAGGGCGACGCTCGCGACGTTCCCATTGGCTCAAAGCTCTGACGTCAGCACGCGTCAACCGCTCCCTCCCTCACCGGCGCTGATACACCGACAGACACGGCCGGGTTTTCGTGAAAACGAACCTTTTAGTTTTCGTCAAAGTCACATGCACAACACGTGATTTTGACTTTGATGCACGACAAAAAGGGGACACATACATCTCACTTGAGACAGTTGTGTGTATACACTTTTTCGTCTGTCGTCTGCACTTTAAATTAGGTGTCACCTTATCCAGCTCACTTGTTAAATGTATCTCTGATCATTAAAATATACCTCTCATGAAAAAACATTTTGCTTAAGAAATGTATGCGCCGATCTTTCCGGCTTACTTTACAGGGTACCCAAAAAATGGTACCACGATATTCTATGTAATAAAAAATGTCTTTTCTTATGTTTTCTAGAGAAAAAAAAGCAATAACGTTATATATGAGCAATGAAACGTATTTTACTACAGAAGGTAAGTTCTTGGGCTAATTTCATTTAAGTCTACCAACGACCTGGCGGCCGCGTTCCACACGCACACCACGGCGGCGGCTCCAATGCCGTGAGGAGAGGCTCCGGTCCCGCCGCGTCATATTATGTTACCACCAAGCAACAGGCTGAGATAAGCATGTATCAAGAGGAGCCACTCCGGTCGCTTCTTTTACGTGGTGTACACAGAGACCCTACTCTCCGGCTATTGAAAATCTGCCCTGCGAAGCATGCGCGACATAAGAGAGCCTCTCGGTCACTCAGGAACGCGTGCAATTTCTTCGACTCTTAAACAAAACGCAGAAATATTTCTCAATTTAAAGCCACCGTCCGCCTTTGTGCCGTTTTTTTTTTTGTTTCTTCCTGATTACTTTCGAGGATTTTTACATTTTGTACAAATAATGAATCAGCCATTTGTGCATGGGTATCTACACGCTCCAATCACGGTGCTGTGGTAGCCTCAACTCGGTCATATTTCTAGCTTCATAACTTGAGATACACAAAAATAATACATCTTTATCCAGATTCCTTTAGTACCTATCATTGTCCTTGATGTGGGTAGCTAGTATTGTCCAAAATAACTCGTAATTATTAAAATGGCCCCATTTAAGCGTCTCTCATAAATTTATTTTGCTGCCCAGAACAAACATATTAGGCGACAAAATGAACAAGATCGAGGACAACACGCTGGCTATGTTTGAACGTTCTGGTATGTATAGATGCATAGAAAACAAATGTGGGTATTTTTGCGGGATGTGCCATGTTTGCGATTGTTTCTAGAAATTAACAGCGTCAATGCTTAATGAAAAATATTTTGAGTCAATACTCCTTATACGTACTTTGTCATTAAATATCTACAGACCGGTAGCCACATGAGTGTTCTTGGGAAAGGTGACCCAAATGCCAACCTCGCGCAATTCGCTGAAAGCACATCGCACTATCAGTGCGCTTCTCTTTTTTTTTTCCGCAAGGACAAAACTTTTGTTCGCAAAACAGATATCGGTTTTGCTCTGTTGGGCATTAAGTCTACAAAATATTTTTTTTTTTTACAAATTAAAAATGGTCACCGAATATGGTCGGCCGAACTTATCTGAAAACACCCTATGGAATGTTTGTCCGGTGTGTTACTCGATTTAACGCGAAACGCCCATGCGGACTCTGTGGCGCGCTCGCATCTTTACCGTCCATTCAGCCCATCTCCTGAATGACACCTTAGCGGCTCCGACCTCCCACCTCAGCTGATGCTTTGTTATACATTACGAAACCGCGAAAGTGTTTTCCGCAGCCTCCTCTGCTGCTGCCCTGAGCCCATGGTATTTAAAAGTATGCAAACCAAACCAAGAAACCAAGGGGCTTGATGAACTCGTAATGTTTCTGCATCGTTAAGGCTGAACGAATCTCAGCATTCGTGTTCCCAAGATATTTAATGTTATAAATATAACTACAAATAACTTTATTAAGGTTCCTAGTTCATACGGAAAAAAGAAATGACCTATGTATCTGGTGAAAGAGTTCAACCTCTTATATTCATATATATGAGCATGCAGGACCGTCATTTATTCGGATTCCCCTGTGTTCATGCAGGACTTGCATTCGTACAAGATACGTGTGCATACATGTTTCCCTGTATGCACACAGGAGCCTACGTGAACGGATTCGTCTGTTCAAAAGACGGCATTGAAGTTAGCTAGGTGAAACCTCACAAAAATCAAATCTACGATTGAGAGAAAAAGAGGAGCCAATCAACTAATTATATGTGCATCGCGAATAAAATTTAAAAGAAGTAAAAAAAATTGTAGTTTATTATTTTTCGGTGCAACCTATCAAACAGACAGACCCCGCCCGTTTTATCTAAGTCTCGTCTCCTCGGTGCTAAACCAAACCTTCCTTACAACGCACTTTCAATAATCTTGAAGCGTCTAAGCCTATGATGTGTAGCGTCTTCTGTTGTTCCATACCTAAAGTTAAAAATGGTCTGGAGAAGTTGGCACAAACACTAACTTTTTATTTAGTTAAGATAGGGCCGAACATGAGGAGCAATATTTGTAGTCTGGTGCCATTCTGTTGTGAAGTCTCCCTGTGCCGTCTCCCTGGTGATCTTGAGCGCTATTCTCTTATACCCTCGTGCGAAGGGTTACCGCGCGGTGGCGTGAACTCGTGAAATCGCGAGGCAACAGGGCAACCAGTCGAGAGAACAGGATCCGCGTTTTGATAGTGAGTGGTGTGGTTATTATCCAATGTTATGCAATCTCGATATTGCGCAGAACTGATGCACGCGTGGGGCAATTTCCGCTGACGACGCGGCGCCTGAATCGGGTATCGTAATCTGATGTTCTCAGGAGCCGATCGAGTCTAGAGGAGAAATGTTCTCTCAGGAGCTGCTGCATGTCGGCGCGCGCGTCACAACATATGTTTCGCTAAATTAGTTCTAAAGTTTCAAAGAGTTGTTGTATTTTTACACTTAGGCAGATCGCCCAGTTAGACCTCTGTACCTCCTCAAGAAGTCACGGCCATAGCGAAGCGGCACAGAGGCATTCGCATGTATTTCAACGCATCTGTTGCTGCTGTTTTTTAACCCCAGTCCTGTCGATGAGAGCCGAACGGTTGATAACTAACAGCATATATCAAATTCAAACACGAAGAGTTTTATGCGTTTATCCTAAGTACTCATAAAAAAACATTTTAAAACTTTAGAGGCATGTCTACTTTAAAAATGTATAAATATGATAATAAGACGAGCTTACCTTCCGACAGTAACATGTGTATTCTTTTCCTAGCCCCGTAGTAGTGGAACTCTTTTGGTCGTGCCGAGCAAGTTTAAAAACGCAGAACTAGCAGATGGAAAATTTAAATGATTTAGCGGTCGAAAATATATTTATCCGATCAGTATACCCAGAACCAAGGACTTCATGAAACTAGATTTACAGAAATACTAATATCTGTGCAACTAAATGAAACACACTTTATTTGCTTCACCTGGAAAAACTGGAAATCCAAAACTCCCACCAACACTGCGCCGTTTTCTAGAGGTCTTGAGATATTTGTTGGAGATTACATATCTATAGTTTTTTTTTTTTTTTTTGATTCATAGGATATTACATGTTGCTGAAAGACTACCTGGGGCCATAACCGATTTGTCTAATTTGGGCACACTTTAGTAAACTATTACGATGACAAGCAATGAAAATACATAAAAACTAACAGTATGTGTGAACTGTCAGATATAAGATTAGAGTAGTCGTATTTTTTTTACGCGTTGTTATCTGCAGTACGAATAGCGTATGTTTTTTTTTTTTTTGTGCCAAATGGTAGGTGTTTTGTTTTTGTTTCGCAGCTTTTGTTGCCACAGGTTCTTTTCTTTAAGTGTGCGTAGAATTTGATCGGTTATCCACGGACAGATAAGATCTGAGTAATGATATGGTTTCTAACTTCACTAATGAATTCTGAAGTGTTGTTTTCAGTGCTGCTACAAAATATGGAAATTCGATGCTAATATCATAGCTATATAACGGTTCTAAGTTGAAGATCGATAATGTTTTGTGAATGAGCTCGTAATTAATAGGTTGTGTTAAAGGAGATGTTGAGGCCCGAGATGTTTTTTTTGAACGTTCAGCGGAAGTAAATTAATATAGAAAGTGATAGACAATATTTGTTTTGTACACGCCTGAGCTAACATGTGAGTCGCGATTGATGATATACCGCAAAATACGGGGGCAGCACCCACCCCACTTTCACTGAAACTGGATTAATCTGGGCATGGGTGCTTGTCTGGAGAATTCGAGCGCTTAAAGAAACATTTGCAGAATTTCCAGGTATGGGAAATGTCAATAGTGGTCGCTTGAACGAAGTAGGAGGGAGCTTCCGCAGTATTTTACTGTAATCAATAAGCGTGCATGAGTTTGGTGTTACTCTCGTTCGTCCTCTTATTACGTTTCTGAATTGAATGATCAGATTAGATGGAAGTAATCTGTGGATACCCTTTTACATAAATAAACAATAAAGTCACCACTAATAACACAGTTTAAAAAAACACAGCTCTTAGGCGCCCGTTTCCGCGTTTTGCTGCGTCGCCGTCGGCGTCGTCGTCGGCGTAGCCGTCCTGCTAAGTTTATAAGAAAATTGAATTGGTTTTAAACTCACGCAACGTCAGTTTTCCCGCTAAATCTAGCGGACAAACAGAATTTGTTCAAGGGCGACGTGACACGAAGTTATGTTATGCCATTTTCCAAGCTAAATTTAGCGGGGAAACTGGATCGGTCTTGACGTCACGTGACGTCAATTCCTCCGCTAAATGCTAGCGGGGAAACTTGACCCGCTAGACTTAGCTGAGAAATTTTCCCGCTAAATTTAGTGGGGTATTTCCGCGCTAAATTTACCGCGAAAATTCCCTGCATAAATTTACCGGGGAAAGTTTTCTCGCTGTGTTCAGTGGGTTAAGGTCAAGGAGGCGAGGGTACGGAGAGGCATACCCTCCCCTCCGTACCCTCCCTTCCTCGTCCTCCTAAAAAGCTGCGCTCTAATTTCGCATCCCAAGGATCTATAAAGTACGAAACTTATGTACGACGAAACCGTCCGATCCGACGTGCGGACTGCCGGAATGACCTTCAGGGGCGAGGGTTTTCGTAGCACCGGAGAGCGTTGAAAACCCTCGCCTCCGACCGTCGTATTGCCTGATCGGACGTCGGATCGGACGGTTTCGTCGTACATGTTGTTTCGCGCTTAAACGTCTTCAATATTTTTAATGCGTTAGCATGCGCGCCGCGCATACACAGGTGCCGCGCGTATGCGGATGTCGTCCTCGACATATTCCTAGAGGTCGTATTTGAGGTCGTCCGAGAGGTCGTCCTAAACGTCGTTTTTGACGTCGTCCTGGCGTCATTCTTGCGGTCGTCCTAGAGGTCGTTCTTGAGATCAACCTTGAGGTCGTCCTAGCGGGCGTTCTAGACGTCTTCTTTGAAGTCGTCTTTGATGTCGTCCCAGAAGTCG